TATTTCATTATTTGTTTTGTCACAGGCATACCAATTTACTTATTTTTTTTAATATTTCTTTTTCTTTATTATTGATATTAATTGTATGTACATATTGTGTGAATGAATCATGTAGCCTTGATATTAATGCCCTTCAATGTGTCAGAATGTATTAATATTCAATAAAGAAAGTTAAAATTTACTTCAGTTTAGGATCTTGTTACTTAGCTTACTTTGTTCATATTTTAATGTATTTACTGTTTATAATTTTAATAAGCTTATTCACATTGTTTATAAATTTTGTCTAAATATTATGTTGTAATTAAGTATGAATGGTTTTCTTTTTATATATCTATTTGTTTTACTTATGACTTATATAATTTGCTACCAATTTCTGTATTTTTTAAAATTTGATTTCAAGTTACATTTCTTTGGTTTTATAGTTTTTGCCTTGTTAAATAGATTTTTATTTTTTATTTATTTATTCTTATTTTTATTGTATTGTATATATAGTATGAATGGGCCTCACTCAGCTTTAGTACTCAGTGCCCTTAAATGTGGCAAAATGTATTATTTCTCAATAAAAAGATTTATAAATAAAAAACATTATGTAACTGCCACAAATCTCTATCTTTTTGTTTCTTGTCCGTTCTAGCCCTGAAGAAGACCTGCAAAGTAGGGTCGAAACGTCGGCTTTCAATAAAATAGTTTTACCATTATTTAGCCTATTTATGACCGACACCCCAGACCGTCTCCTTGCTTTTAAAAAAATCTATGCAGTTAGAACCTTATCATATTAGTATTTTGCAGCCGCGGTGGTCCAGAGAGTTGAGGCGCCTGCAATCATTTTATATTGTGTTCAAAATGAGAGTTAATATTATAAAACAAATAAAATAATCAATAATAAATTCAAATTAATCAGTGCAGGCCGTACTTGATTCCTTAAACCACTACGGCGCGGGTTCGATTCCTGCATGGGAACGGTAAAGTCACCACCCAGAGATTCCCTAGGATGTGAGCGACCCCTGTATCTTACACTGTAACTCCTAGTCCTCCAGGTTGGGGGTTAGAATTAGGGCTGATAACCCCATGTCCTATAAAAAAAAATAAAAAACTGGATGGATATTGCTGCAAAAGATTGGCAACCATCCTTCAGGAAAGTGCTGATGAATAGGGAGTGAATTGTGATCGCGTGTGATACGCTCATTATCCCCGTGATCCTGGGGTATCTTGAAGAACAGAACTAAACGACCACTGCAAACAACAGCCCCAAAAAACTGCTGGAAGACTCATGGCGAAAAGTCGAAGTCAGGATGCGTAAGAAAAAAAAAAACTTTGGTAGTCGGCTATTTCTTACCAAAAACGTAAGAACCTTTTCAAACCAAGCTAGTAAAAAAAATTGTGATCACTATATGAATAACTTATTCAAATTTAATAATGATACAATTAAAATTAATAACAATAAATATGTGTCTTTATAGAAGGTTCTATATCGCCAGCGTAGCCTAAATGTCACACCATTTAATGACTATTAAATATATAATAATTTAATAATCAATATTATAACTTGTTGATACTTGATATTTTTAAATAGGAATCTTACCTACGAAGCGGCAGCACTTCCCACTCTCTCATGAAAACTTATGTCTATGACACAAACCTACCAGAAGCTGAAAAGATGAGAACAGAATTAATGCTAAAATCAATAACGTCAATTGGTAAGTAAAGTTCTTTGATATAGCGTACAAATATGACAGCATTAAATATTATAATTAAGTAGTTTCAAGGAATCCTTTTATTTATTTTGATGATTTGATCTCATTTTAATATCGGGGTCACATCTGCTATATAATTTTATTATTGAACTTGACTTATTATCTGTTGATTCACTGTTAACTGCTAGCTAATCAAACGTTACCTAGTTCACTACTGGCAAGAGATTAAAAAGTATTGTATATCATAACATATATCGATGATAGTCTAGTTGGCCTAAGTCCTTCTTTCGTCAACATTTTCCGGAATTCGATCATCAAGGCTGCATTTTACTTCTGGCATGGTGATGCTTTTAAAATGGAATCGTATTATATAAAAAATATCACTTGCCCTATATCCTAATACAAATATCCTAATACTGTTTGCCAAATCTATTTAAATTTAAGGAATTTAGCATTTCATCCTTCAGAAATATCCAATATCATTCATAGATTACCTTCCCGCAAAGCTCCTGGCCATGACCTAATCACATCTCAGATCCTAAAATTTGTTGTCGAATCCTGTTATAAAAGCTCCTCAAATATTTTATGCCACCCCAAAATGGGAAAATTTTTAGGGTTGTCTGCTTAGCCCTTTGCTATTTGCGTTGTTCATAAACCATTTACACGAAAATTTGGAAGAGGGTCTAGAAATCGCAGGAGTAAACATTAGATGTTTATTGTATGCAGACGACGTAGTACTATTAGCCCCTTCCCCAGTTAAATTACAGCGTATGATAAACCACTTGGAGAATTACTGCTGAATGTTGAACTTGCATATAAATTTGGCCAAGTCAATAATAATAGTTTTTCGCAATGAAAGTAGACCATCCAAATATGAGAGGTGGAACTTCGGAGGAAGCCCTGTTGAAGTAGTAAACGAGTATAAATATCTGGGTGTTATCATGACCCCAAGGTTGGTCATGGGACGACACTTTGCTAAAAGAATAAGTCATGCAAAATTTGGTCTAAATTCTACTTGGCATAATTTCATAGCTAACAAAAATGTCTCCTACTCAGGTAAACTAGTGGTTTATAATTCGGTCTCTCGGGCGGTGATTAGTTATGCTGGGCAGGTTTGGGGTTTCGAGCCCTATGAAGTTTTGGAAAAGTTTAAAAGCTACTTTGTAAAAAAATTACTGTGTCTCCCATGGTTTGCACCTAATTATATTTTGGCACACGAAACCGGCCTCGCCTCGATATACTCCTACACACTTAAAATTCATTTCGACTATATTTTGAAAGTTCTGGAGATGACGGGTTTTCGTTTGCCACATATCCTAGCGAAAGAGGTGATAACTAAGAGAGTTTATTGGTACCAAAAGTGGTTAGAATTCGAGAATAGTTGCAAAATTAATCTTGATACTGCCAATATCGCAGATCTGCGCGGAAAATTGACTGTTGTTAGACGTAGGTTAGAGGACTTAGAAAAACAAAATAACCTTCAAAAATGTCTTCATTCAAGTTTTTCTGTTTACGCAGGACTATGTTCAGTGGGTCCTGTTACACCCTATCTTGATGATAGTTTTGATATTGTGACTATAGGGTCAATTTTTCGATGTAGGACAGAATTGCTCTGTTTGACATGACATGTGCAACATGAAGAGAAACTACCCATTGATAGAACTCAAATTAAAGTTCTATATTAGAAGGTCCCGAGACCATCTTCTTTTCAGACGCCTCGGATGGTTATCGAGGAATAAACAAGGTTTGAAACGAGAGGATTCGGATGGTTCTGCAGTTCGTTATGGAAGGATAGGTATCTGGATTGGGCCAAATCGGAAACATGTGGAACATCAAGGTCTTTATGGATGATTTTATTAGTGACAAAGTAAGGAGCGTTGAGGATTTTACGATTGGTTTTGGATTGTAAGGATTGGATACGAGAGGAATTCGATGGTTTAGTGGAGCCCCAGAGCTCAATTCCGTAAGTCCAGATAGGTCCTATTATTGTTATATATATGAGTCGTTTATAATTAATTGAAAGCTTAGAGCGTTTGTCTAGTAAATGCTGCAGTAGTCGAAAGCGTCGGGCGATTTCTAGTCGTTTCAGTCTGGTATCGGGGTTCCAAGTGAGTCGTTTGTCAAGGTGGAGGAGATTACATCTACCACACGATGGCATTGCTGAATAGTGGAGTGGGATGTGCGGAATCCAAATTGGTGATCTGGGATAATGTGTTTAGAGTCTAGGATGGGATACAGGCGTTTTAAGATGAGTTTTTCCAGGATTTTGCCCATAATGGGTAAAAGAGAGATAGGACGGTAAGAGGATGGGTATTCCGGCGGCTTTATGGGCTTAGGTATCATTTTGACAATGGATAGTTTCCAAGAGTCAGGAAAATATGTGGTTCGCAGTACAGCATTATATATATAGGTTCATCTTCTTATTCTTCATCTAAAGTTCCTTTAATTTGTTTATTTTAAATAATTAACCATCTCATTCTCAGTAGCAATAAAAAATGGCTGAATATAAACTTAGAAAGAATTTGATAGTTGACTGGGGGTGGGGGGAGGGGAGGAAGCTAAAATTGATTTTTCAGGTTGAAAATGAATTCCCAAAAGTAATTGCCACAATATATATATGAATAATTTATCTTTGGAAAGTGATGAATTTAGAGAAAAAAAATTTGAACATATAAAATCGTAGGTGATGAAAAGTTATAAATAATAATTTCTGAAAACTAATATTTTTTAACGGAAACAAAATGTTTGTATGGAAATCTAATCAAATTTCCTAACTAAATGTTAACTTTTTAAATTATTTTTAAGTTTGCAAAAAGTATATATAATCCACCGAATAAAACCAATGAGATTTTTTAATAAAACTATTTTATTTTACTTGTATAAATGGAGAATCAAAATATTAATATAGACTTTGTGATAAGTCTTTATATAGTTTATTTTATTTTTTGTGTACTTTCCCTATTTTACAAGTTTTGCAATGCATATCCTCACAAAGTATAGTATTTCTTTTTCCTGCAAATCATGTAATGCTCCCACGTTTTGTAAGTAATGTCAGCATTACTGCTCTTTTAAACATTTCTTCTACACTATTTACTTAATTATGTAACTACTTTGCCTTTTGAGTGTACAGATTCAGCAGTAATGATGTAACAGTTATGCCTATTTCCTTTTATTCCTTGTTGAATTCATGAGACGGTAAATTGAAATATTCAGTTTTTTTCTAATCTGCTGACATTACTTACAAAACGTTTACTAACGTATGAATAAATTATAAGATTTCATCTTTCATATCATAGTATGTTTATATTAGTGAGTATTTGGTAGGTTTTGTCGGCGGTTTAGGGTAAAAACAAAATGTGAGCTTAAACTTTGTGCCGCATGAATTTGAACCCATGCTGCCAACTAATCATGGTTGAACTATAGTTACCCTTTTCTGTTCCCAATTGGCAAGTCACCAATACAGGGTGATTCCATTTTCTAAAGGTATTTTCAATAGTGCTCATTTCTCTATAAGGCTCAATGGTTGGAATGGACTGGATCCTAAGACCCATTTCCATCTTCCAACTTAAAACAAACTCATTGAAAGAGGAAACTTCTACCCAATTCTAATCATCCTGGCACACCTGAAGTGGAGCATTAGGAAGTTGACTAAGGCTGTGTAGCTAACCTTAAAAACCTTTATACAAATCCTTCATCCATATGGTAAAACTGCTTTAAAGGCCGTTTTATACAGTCAAGCCTCACGTCCAAAGCTTTGTATGAACTGTTTGGTGGTGTAACTTGTACCATGTAAAAGGATTTGGTACAGTCACAGGTCCAATAGTGCATTTCGAAAATGTTGGAAAGACAAGCTACAACAGTGCTCCTTATATACAAGTAAAGTATTGTAATGTTTGTGTCAGCAACGAGTACATGGAAATGTCTGTATGGACACTATATATATATATATATATATATATATATATATATATATATATATAAAACTTTTATTGAGTATTAATACAGTCTGCCACACTGAAGGGCATTGGTACTAGGGCTATAGTATTCATTCACACAGTATGTACATAAGAAAGAGGAGAAAAAAGTATATATATATATATATATATATATATATATATATATATATATATATATATATATATATATATATATATATATTTCTATTTCTATATATAAAGATAAAGTAATATACAAGATAATTAAAACAACAGATCAGCCGAGTAATAACAAAACAAATAAAACACATTCATACCTATGTACAATATTTACATTGGCCCAGGGGACTCCGAATCAAGCTTTGTCCCCCAACTGTGGAAGTCAAAGCAGGACTCCAGGAGATCCCAGTGCTTTTCTCCCAGCCGCGTCACTGGTATAGTAAGCCAGTGGAGGCTGATGGAGGGCACTAGAGCAACAGACGCTCAGGACATGAGTGAAGAATCTGGCCAGTGCTAGTATGTACTCCAATATATACATTTTTACAAAAGGTCGCGGGGCCACTGCCGTTTTAACCTCCGAGGAGGATCGTAGGGATGAATGGAGGTAGATAGAGACTGTGCTACAGGATTAGGTTGATGAGTGAGATTCTGGTGAAATTTGAAAAGTTTGTCTGGGATTAGGTCAAGTACAAATGGGATATTAAGGTCATTGTGTAGGGTTTTATTAGTTAGATAAAAGGGAGCATCGACTATTGTTCGGAGAACTTTAGACTGGAAGGATTGAATGTGTTTGATGTTGGAAAGTTTTACTGTTCCCCACAGTTCGAGTCCGTAGGTCCAGATATGTTTCAGGATTGTCTTGTAGATTAATAGTTTCTTCTCAACTGAAAGTTGAGATTTTTTATTGAGTAGTCTATATAGTTGGCCATATCGTCGGTTAAGCTGTTGTCTTTTAAGTCTGGTATGTGGGTTCTGTGTTAATCTTTTGTCTAAAAGGAAGCCAAGGTTCCGAACTGTGTCGGAGAGGGGAAGTGGTATGGAGTTGAAATAAACTGGTGGACACGATTTGCGCCAAAGGGCGAAAGTGGTGTGTTTGGATTTAGACTCATTTACTTGGATGCGCCATTTATTACACCAGTGTTCAATAAGAGAGAGGTGACTTTGTAGGTTAAAGGATGATGTTTCGGGATCTGAATTAGAAGATAGGATGGCCGTGTCATCAGCGAATGTTGCCAGGAGAGTTTGAGGATGAGTAGGAATATCAGCGGTAAATAGAATATAAAGGATAGGACCCAAGACATTCTCTTGAGGAACTTCTGCCTGAATTGAATAACACTTGGAAAATTCAGTTCCACAGCGGACTTGAAAGGAGCGGTTAGAGAGATAGGATCGAAGTACCAGATATAAGGACTGAGATAGATAGGTTTTAAGCTTGAAGAGCAATCCGGTGTGACATAACCGGTCAAATGCTTGCGCAATGTCCAGAAATGCATCCGAGCAATATTGCTTGCTTTCTAGGGCTGAGGATATATGGTCCACAACTCGGAGGCCTTGTTGGACAGTGGAATGTTGGGAACGAAATCCGAATTGGTGGGTAGGAGAAGGTTTTGGAATTCTATAATGGGTTGGATAAGTTTCAGTAGAATCTTTTCAAAGATTTTTGATAGGATGGGAAGTAGGCTTATTAGTCTATAGGAAGTTGTATTATTAGAAGGTTTACTTGGTTTCAGAAAAAGGATGATGACAGAATGATTCCATAAGAGAGGAAAGTGGGTAGTTCGTAGGATACAATTGTATATATAAGTGAGGAATATGATTGCTTTGGATGGAAGTTTCCGAAGGATATGCGGGATTAGAAGGGCGTATCCAGGAGATTTATGGGGAGATAGTTTTTGTAAATGATGTTTGACCTCAGAAGGATTAACTGCTTTTGGTGGTAAGGAGAGTGGGATGGGTGAAGAGAGGAATTCTTCTACTATTGCAGTGTGGGTAGGATGAGATTCCTGATGAGGAGTGAATGTGCAGAAGAGGTATTTGGCGAATTCCTCAGCTTTGTCTTCATCTGACGCCACCCAGGAGCCATCACTTCGTCGGAGGGAATAGGAGACATGGTGGGATTTTAAGATTTTTTTGGGTGATATTCCAAAGGGAATTAGGGAGATGTAAGGTAGGAGTTAAAGGATTGGGATCCGAAATAGGATAATTCCTGCTTTCAGTTGCTTACAGTAATAATTATAGGAACGGCTATCAGCTGGATCTCTGGTGCGTTGCCATAATGATCTGGCTCGGCGTTTGATATGGATTAGGTCAAGGAGATGTTGGGGTAAGTTATTTTTTTTAAGGATTTTCGGAGAGTGATTTGGGGAGGAAGCAGTCCAGACTGCTTGTTGAATCATGGTGGTAAAGGAATGTACGGCATTGTCAAGGTCTTCTGCGGTTTTCATTGTTATTCTGAGGTCAATTTGATCGGAAAGGATTTGCTGAAAGAGTTTCCAGTTGACTGGACCTCTGATGAAGGATGGTGGGGAGGGTTTAGGAATAGGAGCTAGTGATACTTGGAGTATTAGAGGACTGTGGTCTGAGGAAAGGTCATCAAGACGGGCAAGAGAATTATTGAGGGGACCTAAACCACTGTGGATGAAGAAATCAAGGATATTAGGATTGCGGTTAAGATCAGTGGGCCAGTAGGTAGGTGAGTTAGGAGGAAGGAGGCAGAAACGTTGGGAATTGAGTGCAGACAGCAATGTTCTACCACGAGAGTTCGTGGTTCTTGATCCCCACTGTTGATGATTTGAGTTTAAGTCTGCACCCAGGATGAAATGATGTCCTAAGGAATTGAGGAGGGAACTAAATTGGGCATTGGAGATGGATTGGTTAGGAGGGCATTACGCTGATGCAACGGTAATAGGAAAGGAGAAGGTTTTGATTATGATAGCAGTCGATTGTAGGAAATCGTGGCTTGGTGTTGGGAGTAGGTGATGGGAGAGGGATTGGTGTACAAGGACAGCAGTACCGGCATGTGCCCTACCGTCAGGGTGGTCAGTACGATATGTTAAGTACTGTAGGATTTTTAAACTCTGTTTTTTGGTCAGTCGAGTTTCAGTAATGAGGGCTATGTCAATGTTCTTGTCAAGTAGTATAGCTGTTAGTTCGTCAGTGTGGTTTCTAACACCATTCGCATTCCAAAGGAGAATGGATAAGGGTTTGATGGGATTTATTTAAGGATTTTTTAAAGGAGGGATGAGATGAGATACAAGATTTGTGAGGAGTGATATCAGTGGGGTAACAAGGGGTTTGAAGTCAGTAAGGAAAGATGCCAACAGACTGGTAAGATCTGTGGCATGTGATGGAGGAGGAATTTGATGTTGATGAGGGTTTTGTTCATTAGGAGGGACAGGATTTTGACGTTGGAATTGGGGTCGCTGTTGCGGCAGGGCCTCACATTTATCAGTCTGGTTTCTACTCCCAAGTAGCTAAGAGAAGGAAACTTTAGGGTCCACTTTTTTAGCAGGTCCTCTTCCGGGTTGGGATGTTTCTTCTTTTTTTCGAGATTTGTAGAATTGGTTTTTCATATTTCTGTAGATCTCACACCCTTTGTAGTTGGCAGGATGTCCTTCCAGACATAGAGCATATACTGCGGGTTCTGATTTCAATTTTGTGCATTCGCCAGACTTGTGTGTCTGTCCACATTTCACGCATCTTGGTGTGGCCATATGCCTGACAGTTGTGACACTGGACGATTTCTCTCTTAGTGTAAGTTTTTTCAACCTTAACACTTGTGTAATACAATCTTTTAATTTCATATATTTTATCTACTCCTGCAGAGCGTTCCAAGTCAACAAAAAATAGAGGTAATGGAATCTTTCTATTATCCCCTGAGTCATTTATGTTGTAGTTCATTAGAAGAAGAAGAAGAAGAATCAACTTTATTCTGGGACTACGTCCCTTGAGAATAACAATATTGTACATAAAATTAAACATTACATCTAGCCAAAATCTATATTACCATAAACAAAAACAAACAAAAAAAACAACTAAAAAATAAGGGATAAAAGAAGTATTTACATAACTGTACAGATATAGGAAGCCATAATATGAGAAATAAGGTCCTAATACTGCTAAATAGTTGCTTTACACAATACGCTATGAAATTATAAATGAGCGACAAATAATAATAAAGATGTTATAGTAATAGTAGTATGTTCGAAGTATAATCGAAATACAATAATAGTGTAATCGTACATACACAATATATATGCACCAAATAATACAATAATAGTGAGAATACAATAATAGTACAATAGTATATATACAATATACATATATTAATATATATATATATATATATATATATATATATATATATATATATATATATATATATATACATATACATACATACACATATACATATATACAATACAACAATAGTATAATAATACAATATAGGCTACCCAGCGTCTGATTGAATTGTAAGGAGGAATTGGAAAAGGAGGGTTTTAAATGTGGATAAGGATGGTGCATGGCGGATTTTAAGTGGGATGGAATTCCAAAATGTGGTGGATTGGACAATAAAGGAGTGTTGAAATGAGGCCGATTTGTGGAAAGGGGTATAAAGGTCG